CACAGCCCTTATAGCCGTGCAGCGTTTCCTTCCCCTTTGCCCTCTGTGGACTTAGCACACCAGAAAGCACCCACTATTTTGCGGTTGTTTCTCCCTGCCAGCCCCAAACGTGGAGTGTGTGAGCTGACAGACCCAGGAGAGAAGGACCCCTTCCTCCACCGATGTGCCGGGAGCCACTGTGAACCCGCCGGGCAGCCACAACATGCCCATATTACGCAGCCACGCATGGATGGGGGACTCCGCCGGCCCTTTCTGAGACAGGGAAAGGAGGAGCAAAAACGTTTTCAATGTACAGACTTAGCAAGAAGAGGGATGCAGGCCTGCGCTGCTCTGGTTTCCTGTTTCCGCTGGTCTGTGCTCAGAGCAGGGCTCAGCATCAGACTTCATTGGCTAAGCAGAGCGACAACTAGGTTTTGCCATTTAAGGTTTATTTCCCAGACCCGATAGGACACCGGCTTCGGGCTGTGCTAAGAGCTGCAGCTCAGGCGCATCACCGGTGACAGCTCAGTGGAAACCCAGCTGATGGAGGCCACTTGGTTCAAAGCAGAGAGACCCTCCTTTTCAGTGAAGAGCCCCAAACTTGCTTCTTAGCACATGGAAGAGGAGGAATTGCTGACTGCTTCTTTCTGGATTTCATTAAGGAAAAATGGGGGAGGGGATTTACTGTCTTTGGTGATGAGCTGTTGGAAAGGCATAGACCCCCCCCCCCGCCTCCTTCCTTAGCTTTGCAAAATGCAGCAGGATAAAGCTTCGCTTGTCTGAGACGCTCTGGAGCCCAGGCACTGGGCAGAGATAGGCGCTGGGCCAGGGGGGTTGAGATGCCCACGTGCAGGATATTAAGTTTGGGTGATCTTCCTGGAGCCCTGTGCCGCTGGCCTTCAACCCAAGCTAACTCTGAGTAGCCAGGCTTGAATTAAGCCTGGGTAACATGGCTAAGGATGGGAAGGAAGGGGAGCAAGGAGGCAGCAAGGTTGTTATCCCACACAGGCCCAATCACGTGCTGCTTGCAGCCCTTCGGGGCAGGGGATGGGGGCAGTGAGATGCAGTAATTCCCCAGGGATTGACTAAGCCACTGTGCTCCATTGAGAGCAAAGGCACTGGGCTGCTCTAAAATGAGGCAGGCTCAAGCCAACTTGGTATCATTCTTCAGTATCACACACCCCGCACAGCTGGTAGGGGCATCTCAGCACAGCCCCCTGTGCAGGCACAGCCCATGGGCACTGTGCTTCCCTCGGGCCCCCCACGGGACCTCCTGCCAAGGGCGAGGGCTGAGGGCTGCCCTGCAGGCACGTGGTGGTGTAGGGGAGGGCAGTGGTGCTATGCAGGCAGTGCGGAGGATGGCATAGTACAACCCCAGGGCATGTTGCAATGAGGGGAGCCTCAGGTCCCAGGGAGATTTGGAGCACAGCTGCTCCCACCACACACACACAGCAACCGGAGCAGTGCCATCCCTGCTCACAGCAACCCTGCCTGGCAGTGCCATCCAACAGAGCTGCTTAAAGCCACCCTGCTGCTGGCCAGCCCTGCCTGCTGGAAAGAGTCCCCCCCCCACCCCTTAATCTTAAAACAAATGAAGAACAGAAGAGGGAGTCACAGGCAGTGAACGGGCAGTCCTGAGAGGCTGAAAGGTGCATTGTGAGCCTGCCAAACTGGCACCGGCCTCTCCACGCTGCCCGCAGGCTCTGTTGACCTTGGCCGGCCGTGCCCGTGCCCGTGGATGCCAGCGCACTTGCTAGCCTCCCCCCCCCACCTCGTCACTGCCCCATGGTTTCTCAAGCTATGTGGTTGAGGTAGGGGCTGTTGCATCCAAGGGGGTTCCCAGCAGCTACAGTCCCCAGCCCTGCTCAGCACCAGGCTGATCTGTCTCTACGTGATACCAGGGCCTTGCTGCCTCCTCTCCTCAGTCAGCTTCATCAGCGGCACTGCTGACATTGGCCATCTGGGCCCTAGGACACCGGGAGAGGCCAGCCAGGCATTTCCACAGCCTGCAGGTCTCCCGTGAAGCAGGGGGAGGGAGGGTGATGGGAGAGCACATACATTCCCTTGCCCTGACTCTGGCATCCATCCTGCCCGGAGGAGCGGCTGAATTCTCCCCGCAGAGCAGAGGCACCCGAGAGCAGTGACTCAAGGGGGTGGCAACCATGTGGCATACCCCAGGAGGTGCAGGACCCACTCTTGGAGGGAGTGGGGAGGCTGAGAGCCGGGCTGCGGGCAGGAGCTGGGCCTGTGGCACCAGGGCAGGTGCTGTCTCCGGTCAGTGCATTTCAGAGCACGGGGTTTGAGCCCGGGTTTGTTTGTAGCCTCCAGGCTCATCCACAGCTCACCCCCAGGTCAGGGAAGGACCATGGGCTCCCTCCCGAGGCCTCTTGGAAGGAGGCACTCTGGGACTCGTGAGCTGGGTTCCCCACTGCAGCTGTCTTGTGGGTAAGGAGGTTTAGTCTGTGCCAAGCTAGCCCTGAAAGCAAGGCTTCCACCGGTGCAAGAGCACACCTCTTACAATAGATCATCACAGTGCCAGGGCCTCCCCCGGGGCCTGGCTCGTTAGCCAGCCTCACGTTTCCAGCAGATGTGAGAGCAAGGCGCAGCCGAGGTGCACACATGCTTTGGAGATGAGCTCACCCAGACAGCTGCGGAGACCAAAGCCCCCCGGGCTGAAGCAGAATGAGAGCAGCGCACGGGCCTCATGCTGGTTCCCCTTGCGTGTGCATGTACCGTGGTTTTGGAACAGTCTTACCTGGGCGACACACCTTCCCTCACACCTGTGCAAGCGGTACCGTCGACCGCCGTCGCAGATCCCGTGACTCGCTCCATCACCTGCGGGTGCCTGTCGCGGCATCTGTACGTGCAAGCAGCAGCCCAGAAAAGCCTGCACACAAAAGTGACTGTGCAACGTTTCCCACCCCAACCAGAGGCCGGTGCAAGGGGCTGGTGTCGAGGGACAGGACTGCGGGGCTTCCTTCATCAGAGGAAGGTGTAAAGTTTGTCAGAGCCTCTGGGGTTTGAGGTTCTGCTGGGCAGGACAGCGGTGGCTGAGGGACCTTGAGACGCATCCTTGGTCATGACTTTGAGCCGGGCTCTGCATCCCGTCCCCAGATGACCCAGGTGCAAGCAGACACCTGGTCTGCTTACACCAGGTGGGGAGTTGAAGGCAGACGGGCTTCACACAGGCCACGTCGCTCCCTGGTGTGCCACTGGCTGAAGAAAATGGTCTCTGACTTAGCCACGCCAGCCCAACGGGGCTCGGTCCATGTGGGCTTCTCCAGCTCTCACGCTCACCTCCATTTTGTCTGAATACGAGGGCCTTTCTTCTTGTCCCAGGACGAATACACCTGACGGTGAGGAGTGGGAGGTGCTGTGTTAGTCAGTCTAGGAGCGTCAATTAGCACGCCGTGTTAACTGGGCTTGTTTAACTTTCTACTGAGATCTTCCCTCCCGCCAGAAGGAATGCGCAAATCCAGCCAAGCGCGTTCGAGGGCAGCCAGCGGAAGTGGGAAACTTCTGGGGATGGGGACTGGGCTGGTAACAAAACCCAGTGATGGAACAGATTGACTGGATCCCAGCATGTGCTTCCTCGGAGACCCTCTGGATCCCCCCGGATTGCCAATGCAGACCAGTCCCCACTGGGATCGCACGGACGTCAACTGGAGCCCTGGCGTGGACATCTCGGTGAAGCAGTGACACCAGCAGAGAGCACTGGCCTGATTCTGGTGAACACGACACAGCTTCCCTGGATCCCCCTCACCTACGCTGGGTCACGCAAGGGTCACCATTCACCGGGCAGTGGCCGAGGGTCTCACCGCCTCCGACAGCACTGTCACTAGGCACATGCTGCTTAATTAAATTCTCCAAAGAGGATGGCCCTGTGGATGCACATGGACCTGTCTCAAATGATTGCTTTAACAGACAGACGAGGGGGTGGAGCAGAGACGTGGGGAAGCCGAGCACTAAGGTTTCCACTTCTGCCTTGGACAAGATTTTCAAAGGGGGCATGAAGCACCTGTCAGAGTGAGCCAGCCACCTGGCAACTCCTCATGCCTTGGAAAGCTACCTCTCTGCCTTGGTTTCCCCTTCTGTAAAGTGGGTGTAACAATACTTGCCGGCTTTGCAGGGCTGTGACTGAGTGGCCAGGGTCTCAAGGCAGTCAAGCACTTTTAGCTTCCCTTGTGATCCATGTCTGCATGCAGCGCCCCTGGGAAGAAGGGCACGTATCTAAGTGGGCTTAGTGCCTAACGGTGGATGCTTGCATCTGAGAGTGTTGGCTGGGGGGCTTGCCAAAACCCAGTGGCAAGTCAGGAAGAGAGGGCAGGTCTCTTGAGTCCCTAGCCTCTGCGCTAACCACTTGGCAATCTTGCCCTCAGTAATGGAGAGTTAAAAACCCGAAATCCTGACAGTGTTCAGCACTTTGACATCTCTTGTGGGCACTTCACAGCCAGCAACTGGTCCTTGCTCTGACCAGCCTTGACACATGTTTTAAAATAGTGACCTCAGCCTTCCCATGTGTGAAATTAGGATCCTGCTCTCTGGAGCATTGCAAAGCTCAGTCCTCTTTGCAAAGGGCCTGGTGACCCTTGGCTGGAAGGTGCTACCAGCCTCATTACCGTGAATAGAGTTGAGACAGGATCCGTCTGAATTCCTGCGAGGGCTCGACCGCCCCCAAACCCGTTTCATCCCCTGGTATTGGGCTTTGGCGAGTTGCTCTCAGCTGTCTTCCCAACTCTGCTGCACTGCAGGGGAAAACGGATGGGGAAAGTCATTCGTAATGTATATCAGTGTACTGGGCAGGGTGATACTACCCATTTAACACCCGTGCTGGTCTCTGCATGGGCTTCCTAGCACATCCATGGAGAAGAGCCGGTACAGGAAAGCCCCCAGGGGCTCATGATGCTGCTCATGGTGTTTTGTTTTCCCCTGCTCTGTGAGTTTCTAGTTTTCAAGCTGACTTGCCAGGTGATTCATGGTTCCTGGGCTGATGCATGTCAAAAGGAACCTGCTCTGGCTAGCGCTCTGCTCCTGTTCTGAGCTGGAAGGGATGTCCCCTGAAACTCCAGATGAGCCAGCCAGTGTCACGCTTGGTGTGGTTGCTCCAGCTGTGGAACAAGGGTCTACGGGGGGTTGATCTTATCCCTCTTCTGGTAGCCTCTAAGCAATAGGGACCAAAGTAGTCCATGGGAGGGACACCATGCCAGGTCACCCCAGGCAGACAAGCCCCAAGAGTCATCGCCTCTTGCTCTCGAGGCCAGCAAAGGCTGGAAAGACCCTGCCATGAAACGATCTTGCTTAACGGTGAGCTGCTATAGTGGGAAACAGAGCTGGGAGGACCACGGTCCTGGCCGACATGGAAAGCTGGGGAGGGCAGCGTGGTCTCCCCTGCATCCAAAAAGGAGGGGAAAGAGCAAGCGATAAGGGAAGGGGTGAGCAGCGCAATGCAGTACACCAGCCTGCAAATCCTGAAGTGAAAGGAGCTGCAGGATTAGGAACCAGGAGGTCTCTGCAACAGGGTGGGGAGAGATTAAGAAGGAGGCTATGGGGTGGTGGGGAACACAACCTAATGATCTGGGAGAGATCGAGTGGCCTCTTTCCCCTTCCCAGTGTCCATGGGGAAAATCCTGAGGCATTTACTGAGATCTGAATCAAGTGAACTCCCACTGAAGCGTGTGGGCTGGGAGGGGGAAGCTGCCTGAGCAAGCACAGGACGAGGGGATGAGGAAGTGAACCTGCGCCTCTGTGAAATAGGGGAAGTCACGGCCTCTGCCTCCCATTCCCCTCGGGAAAGGCCAGCACTAGAAAACCCACTGGGGATGGGGATTTTATTAAAATTCTGCATGTTCAGTTCAGCGGATCTCGTCGCACGTCCTCCCGGTGTCCCCTCCCCTCCTGCGGCTGGAGGCTGGGGTGGAGGGAGAGCAGGAGGGATGGTAGGGAAGGGATGGAGAAAAGGCCTCTAAAATACAAATCACAGGGATTAGGAAGGGGGGCTTGAGGACCAGCCCCTCCGTTGCACCCTCTGCCAATGATCTTGCCCAAATTTTGGTAGAGAGACCCCACAAAGCCCTTGGATGGGAAAGGGCTTTGCAGGGGGCCTGCTCAGTGGTTCTCGAGCTGGGCAAGGGAGGAGGAGTGAGCGTACGCTGCACCGGGGAATGGCAGCACAGCGTGGGGAGCAAGAGCCTAACCAGGAGCGGTAAACAGGCCGCTGGCAGAAGCACATGACAGGAGAAATAATGCTGTGATTATGGCAACAGGGGAGACAAACAGCACACCAAGTTTACTTAGAGTCCCACGAGGGAGGCTGCCCTGGAGTGGAAGGAATTAGAAAAGAAGAGCAAAAGGCAGCGATGAAGGCAGAGGCGCACGGCATCGTCAGTGAGAAGCAGGCCCCAGCAGTACCAACCGCAGCGGGGCACAGGGAATCCTCCTACACATGGTTTCCCCATGAGCCAGGGAGAGCTGAGCTCTGCAGCGCAGAAGAAGGGGAGGCCAGGAAAGTGAACTGAAACAAAGAAATGCTCTAAGGCAGTGGTTTTCAACCCATGGTCTGTGGGGACCCCCCTGGGGTCTGCAGACTACGTCTAAGGGGTCTGCAAAAGATGACTGATCAAGCAACAGCATATGCATACCCACGCTTACAATTTAAAGGGTCTTCACCTCCGTGCAAAATTGTTTAGGGGTCTGCCAATGAAAAAAATGTTGAAAAACCCCGCCTGAGGTCTTCATTTCTAGGCTTCACCCGGCAGTTGTCCCTGCCCCCCGCGGCTCAGCTCTTGGCTTTAACAACTCTCTCTCTGCTGGAAAGCCAGTTCTGGTCTTTAGCCTGCGTTTTCTGTTTGGCTCTCTGCACCGAGCTTACATTTCAGTCATGGGACTGGCTGGGTGTACAGAGATTAGTCCCTTGTGCTTAAGAATCACGAAACCCTGGAGCGAACTGGAAAAGGGGAAAGCTTGGGATCTGGCATTTTCAGGACACTTCTTTCCCCCTGCCCCCCGATCTCAAATCTTAGTTCGGCTTGTGCTAGATCCCCAGGCGGACGACTGCAAATGTCCTTCCCCCCAACACGGGTGGCTTTGTTGCAGGTGCAGACAGGGCTGGCCGGTCAAGGTCAGTTCCAAGCAGCTTTGCCCCAAGCCAGGATGGAGATAGGTTTGCAATTCAGATCAAAATTAAGTCATTTCCACTCGCATGGAACTGGCAGGAATGAGGCGGCCAGGAATAAGGAGAACCACCGAATCCTAGAAAACAGGGCTAGAAGGTCCCTCAGGAGGTCATCGAATCCAATCCCCTGCTCAAGTCAGGAATACCCCTGTCTAAACCCTTCCAGCCTAGTGTCAGTCTAACCCAGGGGGATTAGGCTCCTCGTGGGCTGGATGAGTGGCACCGGGCCAGTCCATGGGCTGGATCAGGCCCACAGACTCCCCCCACCCACGTGCCTGATCCAGTGCATATAGCACCTGCCTGGGCCGGTCTGGGATGCCAGCCCAACTGGGCATCCCCTGTAACACAGCCTGGGACCTGGTCCCAGTGAGTGCCATGGGTGGCACATGTCCCCAGTACTCTGCACAGGGTGAGTCTGGCACAGTGCATGGGTTAGCAGGGCAGCACCAGGGGCTGGATGATGGGGCTCTGTAAGCTGGATCTGACCCATGGGCCGGATGCTTAACATCCCCGATCTAACCTGTACTTGTTCCACAGCCTCTCTAAGTAATCCTCGGAGGACAGTGAGAACAATTGCTCGCCATCCTCCTTACAACCATCTTATCTTGCTTCCAAAGTTTGTTCCCTAGGCCTCCCTTTCAGTCTTCTTTTCTCCCCCTTGGCCTTCTCTCAATTGTCCCAATTTTCCCAGCACTCCCTGTTCATGTTTAGTGATGAGATCCTGGCTTTCTGCTCCCACCCAGTGTCCCCTTTCTAGGAGGCACTTGTAGCACAACCCACCAGCCAGGTCCATACAGACTCCACCAAAGCCATTGGGGGAGTTCATGCAGTGGGAGCATTAATGTGAGGCCTTGGAGAGTTTGTTCAGCCACAGCCCCACGTGGATTGGGTTATCTGCGTGACCTGCACCCTCAGGAACAAATCCCCTTTGTATTCAGTGCCTTTCAGTCCTGGCTTTTCTCCACCTCGGAGGAAGTGAGAGAACCGGGGACACTTGCTACTCGTCAGGGGCCGGTTCCTGCAATCTTCATTCAGATTAAATTCTCATGGCACAGGGCGGATGCATTATTGTGTTTGGGGTATTTCTAGCTCGGGTACCTTGCTCTTTGCTGTCACTGTGAGGTCGGGCGATTCTAGCTGGCTGGTAATTCCCCCCACCCCCACATAACCATCCTACATCGGCCATTCCCCCACCTCGCTTGTTCTCTGTCCGTCTGCAGGGAGACTTTGGGGACTCCTCTCCTCAGGTCCTCAGCCCCTTCCCAGATTTGCATCTGGCCCTGCTGATCATCAGTAGCTTCGCGCCTATTGTCCTTTGCTGGGAGCCCCCCGAGACCGCCGGCTCCTGGTTAATGCCAATCTCCCTCAGGCCCCTGCTCCCTTCAGCCTTTGTGCGGAGAAGGGCGGTGAAGCAGCATGGCAGCCTCTCCTAAGGCTGGAGCGTGCTTCCCCCTGCCTGGCTGCATTCACAGGATGTTTTTTGTCCCCACCTCATCCCTGATGGACATTTCCACTTAACCTTCCCCCTTGCCTCATCCGGCCCCTGCTGCTCTGCACAGCCACCCTGCACCCAGGCCTTGTGGCTGCTTTTATTTGACATAATCCTCTAATTAATAATATGCAAGGCTCAGCCTTTCCAAAGGAGGGCAGGGACATTAATGAAGCCTCTGGGAGCAGGCTAATTAACCATGAGGATCCCCGTTTTACTGATAGGGAAGCTGAGAGTCACAGAGCTGGAGGGGTTTGCCCCACGTCACAGAGGCAGACACGGGCAGGCAGGGTTTTACCTCCGGGGCTCCTGCTTCCACGCGCCCCCTGCTCTGCCCATCACGGTGCATGGCTGCCTTCTCCTCGGGTTAAAGAAAACCTTGAGTTTTTATAAAAGCCTTTGCGGCCCTCCCTGTAGCTGGATGCTTCTGATGAGGTACTTTTGCCCTTGTATGTGCTCTAGAGGAGACACAGGGCAGGTCGATAGGGGCATGGGTTTAGGGGTAGCACCTCTTCGGGGGAGCATGCGATTGCCATGCCCTTTAAGAGCCTGTGCACAGCTCCCACACTGGGTCCACTGGGCCCTTTGGATTCCCCTCCATAGACTAGGCTTGCGCCATAAAGCAGTGTGGCTGGACGGACCCTCCAGAGGTCTTCAGAGCGCACCCCCGGTGCAACGCGTGTGCCCCTTCGTGCTCCATGCACCTTCCAGATGCCGCTTGTGTTGCTTTGGGTGAATCGTGATACCAGGCTGGGCACCCCGTGTGCCTCTCTGTCCCGACAGGCTGCGCATAGACCCTTCGCAAAGGGCCACGTTCTGCTCTCGGTTACATCAGCGCACATCTGGACGAGCTCCATGGACAGCCGTGGGGATCGCTCTCGCTCATCAATCACGTGGCGGAGTCAGGATGCTCCTCTCACAGGCAGGACCCAAAGCAACGCTTGGCTCAGCGCCCGCCTGCACTCAGAGGCGGCACAGCAACTGGACTGCAGCAGGTGCAGACCCCCCGTCTGAAGACAAACCCCTTGCAACAAGGGCCGAGAGTCGAACAGCCTGTCCGCGCCCTGCCACTGTAAGGTGGGCTGTTTCCAGAGGCTTTTGGTCCCCGCAGGCTGTTTTCTGGGTCCCTTGACACAGGGAGAAGGAAGAAGCCAAAGGCCTGAGACCCCACGTGGCCCTTCCCAGGTCCTCTGGGAGCCCTTGGGACAGCTGGGCAGGCTACATGCCCCACACGGGCTGCTGAGGAGGTCGGCTGGGCTCCGCATGGGGATCCAATAGGAAGAGAAACCAGTCCGGCCCATCCATAAATGGCTCGTTAAGTCCCACACAATTACCCCCACCCAGGTAATTGCAGAACTGTGCTCTACAGCTAT